TTGTCAATTTGACACAACCTAAAATCACCTCAAAGGAGAAGCTTCAACTGAGGAGTTGTCTACATTAGAGCAGTCAGTGGGATTATCTTGTTAGTTAAGTAACAGAGGCGGTCACAGCCCACTGAAGGTGGCACCAGTCCTCAGGCAGGCTGTTCTGGGATGTATAAAAATGGAAGCTAAGCATGAGCTAGTGATGGGAATGTCCTTCTGTATAAATGCTTCTATTATTGGTTGATGAATAAAGCACTGATTGGCCAGTAGTCAAGCAGAAAGTATAGGCAGGGCTACCAGATGAGGAGAATTTTGGGGAGAGGAAGGCAGAGAGAAGCTGCTAGGAGATGCCATGTAGCTACTGGGAAGATAGGCATTCTCTGGTAAGACCATGTAGAAATACATAGATTAATAGTTATGGGTTAATAATTAAGAGGGAGCTAGCCAGTAAGAAGCCTGAGCCATCAACCAAACAGTTTATAATTAATATAAGTCTCTGTGTGTTTATTTGGGACTGAAGGGTGGCAGGACCAGTTGAAACAGAAACTCAAGGGCACACAGCCATGCCGACTCATTTATATGTTGTCTGTGACTGTTTTTTTACAATAGCAAAACTGAGTGGTCATGACTCAGTTTGCCAAGCAAAAATATTTCAATGTTTATGTAACCAAATGTATCAATATTTTCATGATTTTGAGTCATGGATTAAAAAGGTTTTATCTATTCTAGAGGAGGAGTTGAACTAATGGGGAGGGAAAAAAAGCAAGGGCAAGTAATGAGGGAATGGGTAGAACAAAGTGTGGGGTATGAATGTGTGAAAACATAAGGAAACCCACTATTATGTATATTAATTAAAAATAAATTGTAAACAAAGTAAAACATTGTCCTTGGTATAAATAAATTTTTTTAAATCCTAATTTCTAGGCCTAGAAAAAAGGCTCTTAAGAGCACTCACTGGCTGTTACAGAGGACCCAGGTTCAATTCCTAGCATCTACATGGTGACTCATAAGTATAACTTCAGTTCCAGGGGATCCAATATGCTCTTTTGGCTTTCATGGGCACCAGGTACACGTGATGCACAGACACACATACAAGCAAAACACTTATATACATAAAACAAATAAACATACCCTAGTTTCTTCAGAGGTTGGTTTTGTTTTGTTTGTTTGTTTGAAAAGAAGTCTTACTCTGTGGCTTAGGTTGGCCTTCCTGAAATGAGCTATGTAGCTCAGGCTGGCCTTAAACTTGTGATCCTACTGTTTTACTTTCTCAAATGCTGTGATTATAAGCATGAGTCACCATGCCCAGCTTTCTTTGGTTTTTTTTTGTTTTTTTGGGTTTTTTTTGGTTTTTCGAGATAGGGTTTCTCTGTATTATTTTGGAGGCTGTCCTGGCACTCGCTCTGTAGACCAGGCTGGCCTCGAACTCACAGAGATCCACCTACCTCTGCCTCCCGAGTGCTGGGATTAAAGGCGTGCGCCACCAACGCCCGGCTTTTCTTTGGTTTTTATATGAGCTCATTTAATATATAAGCAGATTTGGGTGAATCTAAAACTTGACCTAGGTTTTATTGTCATAGGTTGTTTCATTATTATGCCAATGTTATTAAGAGCCCAAATTTTCAGAGTTAAAAAAATTCCAAAACCTGGCACCATGATGCATATCTATAATCCCAATATCAATGAGGTGAGGTCAGGGTGTCCTTCCATATTAGGCAAATGCTCTGCCCCTGAGCTAATCCCCAGCCTCTAAATAATTCTTAATATACTATTTTTACTAATTCTTCAATAATTGCATACATGTATAAAATGTATTTTAATCACATTTACACCTAACGCCTTCCTCCCAGCTCTACTTCCACCTCACCCCACCCAATTTCATTATATATAACATATATATATATATATGTAATGTGTACTCTTTCCCACCAGCTGCCTGGGTCCTGCCACTGTCTCAGCCCCCAAATAACACACGAAATACCATATTAATTATGATGTTGTTGGATATTTGCTATAGTTTCTTAATGGCTAGCTCTGACTTACTCATTAACCCATAATTACTAATATATATTCTTATCTTACCCAGAATGCCAGACTTGTGTCCTCTCCCCCCAGGATTACATGGCGACTCGCTCCCATTGACTACATTTCCCAGAATCCTCCTTGACTCCTAGTCTCATCCATCTTGCTACCCTATTGACCAACAGTGCTTTATTTATCAACCAATAGGACAAACATATACACAGAAGGACTTCCCCCATCATCTCTTTTATGTCTAAATAAAAAGGAAGGTTTTAACTGTAACATAGACAAATTATCAGCCTCCAAAACAATACAGGGAAACCCTGTCTCGTAAAACCAAAAAAAAAAACCATAGTCAAATTATATATAACAGAATAGTTATCAAGTAAGAACTGTAGTTACAATATTTAGTCCACTAACATTTAGTAAGGTTAAAAAAAGTATTTTATCATCTATCCTATCTTTGTGAGTCTAAAGTCTTATATATAGCTTATTTTTCATCATAACTAAGGAAAACTATAATTGCAACTATTTGTCTTCAACTCCATTAAAGATCACAGAAGGATAATATATAAACACTAGAAATGACAGAGACATCTCGCTACCTGGACAGTCACCCAAAGTTCCTCTGTAACACTGGGGCATCCATCTTCAGCCCATAGGCCACAGTGTGTCTGGCAGACTTCTCAGCAAATCAGGAAATTTTAAACTGTCCATCTGTATTGGAAGTTTTTCAATCATTTTTCTGTGTCCTGCAGAAAGTTTGGCAGACTCTTTCATGAAGCAGGAACTACTTAAGACTGTCCATCTTGTTTTGAAAGTTCAGCAGTCACTTTCCTGTGGGTTCTGCATGTCCAGATTATACAGCAAAACAGTCAAACAGTCCAGGCAAGAGCAGCTACTTGGCCAAATGGCTAGTTTCGCTTTCTTGAAGGTAAACTCCATAATGAGTTTCTTTGATGCCAATTATCTTCTCTGACATAGACTGATATTACCAGGAGCAGACATTTCTCATTTTCAAGAAAAACCCTAAACCATTTAAATGCCATATATTCTGTAGGTCTTTGAAAGGTTTAAAGAATATCAAATATATCTGTATATCTAGAAAATCTAACTAACCTAATTATAAGTTTTGACTATTATAGGTAACTATCTATAATCTATATTTAATTACACATTACATTTTTTTTCCGAGACAGGGTTTCTCTGTATTGTTTTGGAGGCTATCAGTCCAGCCTGGCCTCGAACTCACAGAGATCCGCCTGCCTCTGCCTCCCGAGCGCTGGGATTAAAGGCATGCGCCACCACCGCCCGGCTACACATTACATTTTTAAATGAGTTATACAAACACAATACCTCAACAAGAGGAGAAATATATATCACAAAATTGATCTTAAATTTGTATCAATAAATGAAAATTCATATCAATACAAAGTATTCATTTCTATGCCATACTCCTCCCCTTAGAAGCCATCACCTATCAATAGCTCCTCAACTAGAGCCCTACATATTATTTTTGTTGTAAGAAAATATTTGATTTTAGGTCCAAATAAAAAAGAACCAACATATAAAGTAAGTTGTTGATGGTGAAGCATAGTGAGTCAGAAAGCAAAACAACAGCAACAACAAAAAACCCCACAGGAGCAGAATAATATGTGGGCAAATCCCCGGAATATTTTAATAAATAACTGACTCAAAATGAGATGTCATAAAAGTTAAGTCCAGCTGCATAACAAAAGATAAATGGAAATGTGGGGATATTTGCAATTCATGTAATTTTTATGATAAAAATAAAATTGAGAATTTCTATTTGTATTTGCTAATGTGTACATAAAAATAATCTCTGTAAGGATTCATAGAATATCAAGTATCTATAGCAGAGATAGCTGCTGGGTAGACAGACAAGAGAAAGAAAACTTTTCCCTGTACAGCTTTTGGTGTTGTTGTTATTTTTCTAGACAAGGTTTCTCTGTGTAGCCCTCGCTGTCCTGAAATTTTCTCTGTAGACCAGGCCAACCTTGGACTCAGAGAACTCCACCTTCCTCACCCTAGTCCTGCCACTGACACCCAGGTTATTGTACAAGTTTGTTTTTTTTTTTTTGAGACAGGATCTCACTATTTAGCTCTTGCTTTCTTGGATCTAGCTCTGTAGACCAGGTTGGCTTCAAATTCACAGAGATCCACCTGCCCCTGACTCCTGAGGGCTGGGACTACTGGCATGTACCACCATGCCCAGCTTACTGTACAACTTTTAAAAATATATATTTTGACTTTTGAATTAGGTTGGTTACTCTCTAGTGCAGGGATAAATATATACTTGAAGTCCTAATGTGACAATCAAATTCAAGTAACTAGCTAGATGTGGTGGCCCAGTCCTACAATCCTAGCACTTGGGAGGCTGAGGCAGGAGGATTCCAATGAGTTTGAGGCCAACCTAGACTACATAGTGAATTTAAGCTCCATTTTAAATTCAAAGACTCTATGCCTCAATAAAACAAAACCAATGAATTTATTTTAATTCATTAGTCCTTGCACTGTTTTGGAAAAGTAGAGCACATAATAGGAAATCATTAACACAGAGCATTACTACATAACCTTGAAGCTGCTTGGAATACATAGCTCAGTAGCAGAAACAAGAGACCCTGCCTCAAAAAGCTGGAGGATGAGCACTGATTCCCAAAAGTTGCCCTCTGACCTCCAACATGTGCCACGGTTATGTGCACCACCAAAATACCAACTACATAAAAGAAAAATGTATATTATACAAAGTAATTCTTCCATTCATTAGAATTATTAAAAGAAAACTGAATTTATCTCAGCTCTCAGATGCTAGGATTACACGTATGAGCCACCACCAGCAGCCAACAAATGCTTCTTGATTAACTATAAAATCATTTCTCTCAAGCCTTGTCTGTATTCACATTACTGTTCTACTAGCTGTTCAGTGTAAGGAGATGGATCATCAACTGAACCCACACAAACTGTACCTGTTGCTGATCGTGTCAGGAACATGTATCTTCAGCTCTTCTGTGACATCTTTCATCACCCTCTGGTAGCCAGACATTCCTGGGTCTTTGACATATTGAGTATTGTGTCTCATTAGATATTCCCCCAAATAAATAATTGGATCAAACTTGGTTGGGATATCAGCTTGGCTTAAAATTTTCTTCTTTTCTACCTGCATTAACATTTGTTCTACTCCAGGAATCAAGATGGGTAGAAGCTTGTCCAGCAAATACGCCCGGGTAGTTAATGTCATGCTCTCAGTATTAAACCACTCTTTAGCCAAGTCATCCCTAGGGAGCTTTTTTGTAGTCTTCTTTAGTTGCTCCTTGTTCAGGCTATCCTTCTCCAATATTTTCTGCTGCATGACCTGGGCTCTTGCTTCTATTCTCTCATTAAGATTTTTCTTCCATGGTTGCTGTGTTTTTAACTGTAGTTCAACATCATCTGTAGCAAAAATCACTTTTGCAGGTTTTCTAACCACAACATTCCCGGAAGCTATATGGGACTCCTTTGTTGAAATGGCTGAGAAGAAAAGAAATTCAATGTAAGAAATACTAGAAGTATGGGGCTGGAGAGAATGCTCAGTGGTTAAGAGTTCATATTGCTCTTTCAAAGGACCCTAGTAGCATCAACAGCACGCAGCTCCCAGGGACCTGTGATTATTGCTCCAGAGAGATCTGATGCCTTAGGCATCTGTGGGCTCTTGCACTCATGTGTACATACCCTTACACAAATACACATACCTATAATTTTTAAATTAAAAATATAAAAAGTAGCTGGGCGGTGGTGGCGCACGCCTTTAATCCCAGCACTCGGGAGGCAGAGGCAGGCGGGTCTCTGTGAGTTCGAGGCTGGGCTGGACAGACAGCCTCCAAAACAATACAGAGAAACCCTGTCTCGAAAAATCAAAAAAAAAATATAAAAAGTACTATTAAATAGAGCTTAATTGATGACTTTCCAATATATTTAACAACAACAAAAACCTCAAATTTTGTTTTTTTGTATCCTTCTACATGGTTTACTGGAGCACCATCAAAACAAAAAGCCTGATAATAATCATTTGAACCATAAAAACATTTGTTATTTTGTTATGGAATATTAGTTTAAGATGCGTTTCAGGGCTAGAGAGATAGCTCAGTGGTTAAGAGCACTGACTGCTCTTCCAGAGGACCTGGGTCCAATTCCCAGCACTCATATGACAGCTAACAACTGTCTGTAACTCCAAGATTTGATACTTTCACACAGACATACATGCCAGCAAAACACCAATGTATACAAAATAAACAAATAAGCAGGGCGGTGGTGGCACACGCCTTTAATCCCAGCACTCGGGAGGCAGAGGCAGGCAGACCTCTGTGAGTTCGAGGCCGGGCTGGACCAGCAGCCTCCAAAACAATACAGAGAAACCCTGTCTCGTAAAACCAAAAAACAAATAAATTACAAAAAAGACGTGCTTCATTCTTTTATGCTGTGGAATAATTGTTTAATGATGCAAAGACGTGTTGCATTCTTTCATGTTGCATTTATTTAACTCTGTGAAGCTGTGTTACTTTGCCTGTCTAAAACATCCGATTGGTCTAATAAAGAGTTGAACGGTCAATAGCTAGACAGGAGAGGGATACAGTCAGGACTGGTGGACAGAAAGAATAAATAGAAGGAGAAATCTAGGGAAGAGGATGAGGGGTAAAAAGAGAAGGAGGAAGAAGAAAGAGAGGAAGAAAGAGAAGAATGAGAGGAGGAGAGAACAAGGGACACCCCCGGAGCAAGAAGCCAGGTAGACGCCCCAACCAGACAGAGGAGAAGCATGAATGGAAGATACACAGACGTAAGAAAGTTAACAAGCCTCGAGGCAAAAGGAAGATAAAGAGAAACAGTTCAAGTTAAGAGTCAGAAAAGACCTAAGGCCAAACATTCAAAACGAATAGGAAGTCTTTGTGTCAAGATTTGGAAGCTGGCTCGTGGCCTAAAAGGAAAAAGCCTGGTACACTACTGACATAATCAGAAGTCAGTGAGCAGCTCAGGGCCTTATTAAATAATTAACTTGCTGCTACTCTGTGCACTGTCTGTCTCTGAGACAAGGCTGCCTCTCAGCTCCAACTCCTACCCCTTTCTCCCACTCTCCCTTTTCCCTCATTTTCTCTTCCCTTCCCCATCTTCCTCTTTCCTTCCTTCAGATGACTCTATCAGAGACTGAGAAGACAGAGGTGAAGTAGAGGTAAAAATGGAAGACACAGGAGGGAGCTTAGATCATAGTCTTGAGGAACTGAGGAGAGCAATGAGCTAAGGTGACTCAGAGGGCACAATGAATGGGAGCATTCCTTCTCACAGCCTCCATTTTCTATGGGAAAAAAATATTGCTAAAAGGAAGGAATGATGGGATCACAGACTTTACGTGAAAGATAAAAAGGTATAAAATAATTGCTGTGAGTGTGAAGCAGAATGCACACACATAACTAGTTTTTTAAACAGTTTATAAACCTAACTGGGAATGAAAGCACCTATTTTTCATGACATCAGGGCAGAGAGGCTTGGCCCAGGGTTCCCAGGACATGGCTAGCTCACTCTCTGAACAGAAAGCTACCAGATATTTTCTTCTGTTCCCATGATTGCTGAGGTGAATGGAATGGAAGAATTAATGAGGGTTTTTTTTTTCTGACATAGCTATGGAGATGAAGTACTTTGGGGTCTTTTCAGATATTATCCACTGAAAACGAAACATATCTGAAAATGTGTCTATATTAATTTCTAATATGATTGAAGCTATTGAGATGTTTTAATTAGTAATAATTTCCAATAAATACTAGTACTGCAATAAAAGGACAAGATACAAAGTCTCAATAACTTCCTAGTAGTGGCCATTTAAAAACCCTGCTTTTTTAATTATGAAGTATTCAGACCCGCAAGGACAATATATAGACATATACCTAATTTTAGCTTAAGAAAAAAATTACCTACATAATAATACCTCTCATTTTTTCTACTTTGAGAGAAATACTATTATAAATTTGTTTTGTTTTGTTTTTCAAGACAGGGTTTCTCTGTATTGTTTGGGAGGCTGTCCTGGTACTCACTCTGTAGACCAGGCTGGTCTCGAACTCACAGAGACCCGCCTGCCTCTGCCTCCCAAGTGCTGGGATTAAAAGTGTGCACCACCAACACCCTGCAATTCTAAATTTTATGTTCATAATTTCCATATATTTTTTATGTATTTTATTATATCTAGCTGATATAATATTGTTTTCACTTTTAATTTTATATAATTAATATGATGTATGTTCTATGACCTTTTTATGCTTGAGGTTATAATTAGAAAATTTATCTACATTGATAGGTATAGCTACTTCATTTGGTTTTCACTGTAGGATTATAGGACTACATCATGATGTATTTATCCATTCTCATTTTGTTAGCTATTAGGATATCTCCACATGTCTCCTTTTCTACATATGTTTATTTAAGGGATATTACCAAGGCTTATTTTTACTTTTATTTACTTATTTTGTGTATGTGTGGAGGGTGATATAGTCTTGGTATGCATATGGAAGCCAAAAAACAACTTTGGTTCTTCCTTTCCACCATGTGGTTTCCCTAGATGTAATTTAGATTGTCAAGCTTAATAGCAAGTGTCTTTACTGAGCCTTATTACCAGCCCCTATTACTGATATTGTTATTCAGGGTGTTCTAGTAAGAATGCTTGTGTCTCTGTAAAATCTAAATATCAGAACCAAAGATCCAACATGACAGTATTAAAAGGTAGGGACTCTGGGGAAGACTCTGCCCTAAAGGATGAATTAATACACCACAGAAAGGCTGGAGTGGGGCTGAAGAGATGGCTTACTGGTTAAGAATATTTACTATTCTTGTCAATGATCCAGGTTCAGTTCCCAGCATCCGCAGTGGAGAACTCACACTGCCTGTAACTCTAGTTCCAGGGTATCCAATGTCTTTTTCTAGTCTCACCATGCATGGCACATATAAGCTCATACAGGCACAAACATGCATATACATAAATTTAAAAATATATTAGATGGGCTGGAGAGAACTAGCTAGGCCCCTTTTGCCCTTTCCACCTCTTTGTCACTTGAGGACACAGTGTGCTCATCTCTGCAAAGGATACTGCATTCAAGGTGCTATGTTGGAGTCAAAGACTGAGCCCTCAAATAGGCATCAAATCTGTGTATGCCTTGCTCGATCTTAGACTTTCCAGACTCCATTTACATTTATAGTGTTTTTAAGTTAAATTTATGTTGTTTAAAAATTACCCTACCCTGTGCTTATTTTTTTACAGGTACAGGAAATATGGAAACACAGGGTCCCAAGTACAATCATTTCACTTGCAAGAAACATTGTTCAACTACTTCCAGAGTCATTGGCATCAATTTATAGAAACTCGGGGAAGTTTATCTTTGGAGCATCCTGGTCCAACGGCAGATGGGGTTTGTGAACCTTCCTTTGTGTTTTTATTTCCTCCCTGGAAAGACCACTTATTCCAATCACCTACAAGTGTAAGAGTTCTTGTTGTAGGGGCTGGAGAGATGACTCAGTGGTTAAGATCATGTACTACTGATCTTGCAGAGGACCCAGAGTTCAGTTCCCAGTATCCATGTTGGGTGGTTCATAACCACATATAATTCCAGTTCTAGGAGACTGAATGACTCTGGCCTCTCAAGAACCTTCTTGCACATGCATATGCCCCCACACACAGACATGAACACACACACTTGAAAAAATAATAAAAATAAGATACCTTTAAAAAAAAGAATCCCTGCTGTGGGAGCATGGCTTTTGAGATGTATTGCTCAAGATCCTAAAAGGAGCTTTCGAACCCACAGGACTCGTTTCTTTGTGGTCAGAGCAGCTATGCTTCAATTTATTTCACATAATTGGAGAGTACTGTAAGATTCCATTGGAAAAAGGCTTTTCTGCTTTAGAAAAACTGCAGAAAAATCAATACTCAGGAAAATAAATTTTATCCTTTTTCCCAAGGGAAAAATCAAATAGCCTGTAAGAAAACCCTTGAAAGCCCATCTATCAAGTGTCCTGGGTCCAATGGTAATGGTATTTATGAACCTTCTTCAGGTTTTTATTTCTTCTGTAGCCAAATCACTTATCCCAATCAAAGGAAGCCAAGGAGGGGTAGCATATGGCTCTATCACAGTTGGATTTGCAAATAAAGTGGTCACTTGGTAGGGGGAGAGGGTAGGGTATGTCTCCATGGTGTTTTGTCACCGTGATGGTCAGTGTTGATTGAGAACTACTTCAACCCCCGGGCATGCAAGTGGGGGCTGTCCTGACTGCTTAACTGAGGTGGGAAGACCTGGCCACTGTGGGTGGGTCATTCCTTGACTGGGATCCAAGACTGGAAGAGTGGAAAAGCTGTCTGAGCACTGGAACTCATGCATTCATTTCATTGCTCTCTGCTCTTCCCTGTGGATGTGATATGGTCAGCTCTTTCAAGTCCCTGCAGCCTTGACTTTTCTGCAGACTGTAACTTGGAAGAGTGAGTCACTGAACTCTCTCCC